ATCTTGCTGTTCTAAGGGACGTGGTGAGATCTGTTTTGTTAGTTATTAGTATAGTTTAATCTAGTATACCTGTTCGGTGTCCCTTTTGTTCCCTTTTGTCCCCTTTTTCCCTTTCCCTATCCCTGCGGGGGGTGGACCCCCTTTTTACGGTGTATATAGCATCTTAACTGTATATAACTGTAATTTGCGTAAATATAGATATATTTTTATATAAGCAGCTTGACTGTGGGTTCTTTAATTTTTATAGTTTCTTTCTCCTTTAACCTAAGGGAAGAAAGGAAGGGGGAAGGGGGCTGCTGTCCTAGCTTTCGGGCATTTGGCAGGGAGCCAGGTCCAAACCATCACAGAAGCCAAGGGTCTCATTAAACTGGTTTCTGTGATAAAACTGACAAACTGGGTAACAGTTCCATCACTGCAGGAAGAGGATGGAAGGGCTGGAACCTGCCGTTCAACAAGAAATCCCACAGTTCAACAAAGGCAGGCTTGATTTATTTGAGTGGCTTCATTCAATAGCCTACAAAGGTGACAAACTGGAGCACAGGGCGCAGCCGTAGGAGAAGCGCAGTGCCTGGGTTTAGTGCAAAACACACGACTAACTACGGTCAGGGAAGCCCAAAGTTTCAATTAATTTTATTTTTTTTTATTTTTATTTTTTACAGTGTACATTGTTAAATAATGTAAAGAAAACACTTGTAATTCAGAAACAGATTTTATGTGGAAAAAGATACTCAAAGTGTAATATTAAACAAAATAATTTAACAGTTCAGTAGCATTAGTTTATTCCTCTAGACTTCAGTTATTCATCCACAGGAAGAGAGGGAGGGAGGAAAAAAAATAAAAAAAAAATCAATGGTAAATGAAACCAGTTCTTGCATAACATTAAGTGAAAAAACGACCTCAAAAATTATTAGATCAAATTTAAATAACCACGTGCCGCATCCCGCTGACAGTTCCTCTGCCATGAATATTCCCCTTGTCTCATTACTGCCTCAGGTTTGTCACCACTCCCATTTCCAGTGGCCGTGCCCAAGAAGCTCCTCTGCATCCCTGCAGATGGCAGCAGGCGTTCCTGCTCCGCCTCAGCCACCGGGACCCTGCTCTGCCCCCTTCCAACACACCCCTTGAGCCTCCTCTCTGTCCCCCTGCAGCTCCAGCCTGCACCTGCTACACAGAACCAATCGCTCAGGGCTCAGAGCGGCTCCTCCAGCCTGGCCCTGCTGCCAAAACTGCTGTGAAACAGCGACAGGAATGGAACGGACCTCGCACATTTCTTTGTAAAAGTGAGAACATCCACAGACACAAAAGCTCCCTAATAAGGCTCTGGGGTGGAACAGCACTCCGAGAAAACAATGTGGGCAAGTAGCAACCCTGCGAGGCACCAGCCTCCAGGAAACCGGAGAGCTGCTCCAAGCACTTGGAAGCAAAACTCTGATCTCTCACAGCTTTCTGCAGCACTACATAAATACTGGCTGGTATTATTTTGACTTTGAAGAGGAAACCAGTATTTCTTAAATATGAAAAGGGAGAATGACCAAAGCAGAAGATACAGTACAGGTACTAAGAGGTGACAGATAGTGACAATCCTGGTACCAGCTTGAAATTTGTTAAGAGTGAACAAAATTGTAAATCCTCCAAGACACACAGAAGAAACTTCTTGATGCCGGCTGTTTCAAGTACATCCATTGCCGGCAATGGACGTTGCACCAGGACAGTCTGTTCCTGGCTTAAATGAATTTTACACAAAAAAAAAAAAAAAAAAAAAAAAAAAAAAAAAAAAAAAAAAAAAAAAAAAAAAAAAAGTAAGAAAAGCAATCCCAGCAGACAAGCCCATGCCAACGAGCAATGGCACCTCTCCCTCAATCCACATCCTAACCAAACATCTTTACCACTTCGCAGGTGGAGTCAAACT